ACATCCCACCATAACACAGCTCTGTGAGTGGGGAAGTGGTACTCCCCAGCAGGTACTCAGCATCTAGACCAGGCATGTTACACAATACTGGCCCTCTCTGTTATCCACATTCTTCTCAGACCAGAGGTCTGGGTTGAAGTGGGTAACCCACTTCCCTCCAGGAAGCACCCTACTGGCCCAGCCCAGATAGTTTCCTCTCACCCACTCACCAGCCAGACTTCCTGTCTTTGGTGCCCTAGGCTCTATGTGCTGAGCTTATCTGAAACTCACAAGGCCTGGAACAAGCCACAAAACCTTTCTGAGGGGGTTCCACAGCCATCTTGTGTCCTCTTGGACCTCTTGTGCTGATCCGTGCTTATGGGACCTGTCCACACACAGGTATGTTTCACAATAAGGAAGAAACAGTAGTTGTATGCAAGCACTGGCAGCACTACTCAGGGCCAAGCTGGAGCTGCCAGGACTCCTGGTGGAGCCAAGGAGGACAATGCCAACTCCCTTCAAGGTCAGGTCTCAGAGACCCTCCCATGTCCCCATAGACTTGCATGAGGCAATGGTGGTGGGGGTCATTTAGATCCTAAGACTGCCCAGGCTCATATTCCAGCCCTGCTACCCATCAGGTGTGTATCCTGGGTAAGTCAGTGACCTCTCTGAACCTCAGTGTCCTTATCCATAAAATGGGAATGACAGGAGTTTGGTAAAACAACACATAACCACCCATTGCGAAAAGGGCCTGCCAGATAGAATTCTCTGGAAAACTGCTAGTTGTTTGGGGGTATTAGGATTCATGGTACCAACCCTGAAGCCTGGAAATCTGGCATCGGCTCCTGCATGGGATGGGGAAAAGTTGCTGGAAATCCCAGCAGAGGTAGTGGAGAAGGAGGGCTGAGAACACAGCTTTCCCCTCAGGCATGGTATAAAGCATTTCAAAACAATCAACCCTTGCCTAAATGCCACCCTGCAGTCTGTGAGACTAAGGGTTTGAAGTCCTCTGCAGGATCCTCATTTAAAAAGCAAACTGTCCACCCCTGGCAGTTCAGAAGGCTCCTCCAGTGGTAGTGCTGGAGATACCCAAGTTCTTTACTTTGTGGAGAGGGACAAGCTGGGGAAAACTCCCCCTACCCCCACCCCAGTGAAACCAATTCACTTCTAGGGATTCTACTACACAGGGTCACCAGGCCTTCCACATGCTCCTCATCTTTTGACTCAGGAACAAGTGAGTCTGTGAAGGCTGATCTGACCGGTTTGGAGATGGTGAGATGGTGGCTGCCAAGTGAGAAGGGGCCCAGCCTGCCTGGCAGCCCCACCCAGACTTCAAATCCAGCTTGGCAGCACCAGCCCTAACAGGCCAGCGCCACCCTAGGAGAAATGGCCCAGCCCCCCAAAGAGAGGAGTATTCAGGGTCCTGGGCTCTGGGTCTCTGCATTTAATTCCCATTCTAACCTTCCTCCTGGCACTCTGGTTGGAGAGAGCTGCTCTGCTCGGAAGTATGGTCTAGGTGGAAGGCATGGGACAAAAAAAGTTGGGGAAAGGACATTCTTTCTCCATACGCCCACCCCATGGGCTCTGTCTGGGGGCAGTGTAATTGTGGAATTCTTTGTGAAGTCTCAGACCTTGGCACAGGGAATACAGAGAATCCCTCCCCTGTAGAAGAGAGTCAAGAAAAAGTCAGACTCCTAGTGCTCCTTTCAAAGCATGGAAGGGCTGAGCATGGGTTGGTTTGTTTGTTTTGTTTTGTTTGAGACAGGGTCTCACTATGTAGTTCAGGCTGCTCTGGAACTCACTGTGTAGCCCACACTGGTCTTGAACTCACAGTGATCCCCCTGCCTCGGCCTCCTGAGTGCTGGGATTACAGGCAAGTGCCACCATGCTCAGCTGAGCATGGTCATTTTAATAAGGAGTTATGAGCTCCTACTGCACCCGGCCTGGGCCCAAGTATTACAAGGGAGCTGGGAGTCAAAGGTGAGTGTTGTGGCTTTAAGGGCCAAAGAAGTTTCCAGAGACTCTAGACAGCTTCCTGAAAGATGTGACAGTAGGGCTGAATCTTAACAGTGGGAAGGGGCTCTCCCGTGCAAGGCAAAGAGTGTCAAAGCACGTACAATCAAGTCCTCAAATCCCTGTGCAACCTCAGGCAACATCTCCTGGTCACCAGGACTTCACTTCCCACTTATGGGGCAACCACATGCAGAGCACTACAGCAGCCTGGCTTACCACTTCATCCCCTGGAATAGGAATTGTCTGATTAAGGTAGCTCCAGCATCTTTCCGAATCCTAGGGACCAAGAAGATGCTTGCTGCAGAAATTCCACTCAAAAGATCCCACAGAGATCTCCTGGACCTATGGACCTGCAGCCCCCCTCCATGTATATACATACACCACTCTCCTTAACAAAGAAAGGAACAGGAGGCATTAGGAGCCCAGAGGAACTTCTAGCAGGCTCCAGTGATCAGAAGGGAAGGGTACCCAGCACTGCAATGGAGAAGGAAAGACAGGAAAAAGGACTTCACCTCTATTCCCACATGTATCCCCCTCCCATATCCCACGTCACTTCCGCTGGCCAGGAGGCTGACAACCACAAGAAGATGGAACAAGAAGTCAGGGGAAGAGAGAATTCTGGCCTCTGCTGTAATTTCCCCTCTCTCAAGCAAGCCATATGGCTTCTGATTCCTCACTTCTAATCCCAGCTTTAGATATATGATAAGGTTGCAGGGACTGGGCCTTGGAAATGCCCAGTTAGAGGTAAAGCCAAAGGGTGCCAATTAACCAATTAGGCCTGTGAAGGAGTACAAGCAAGAGGTTAGCAGGAGAAGCAGGAGGAGAAGAACTTCTGTCCCTATGCCCTCCTATGAGGCAGCTAATCCTCAAGCTTCTGCCAACAGGACAACAAAAAGTGCTTGGGATGACATGAAGGTGAAGAACAGTGCTGGTGGCAGAGGTTGGCCTCTGTAAACGAGGACAAGATGGAGCAAGTAGTGATCAGAGGCTGAGCAAAAGGGGAAGAGGCCCAGCTCCCCAGGAAGGAGGGGCCTGCCCCAAAGAACAGCAACAGCTACCGAGACAACTACCACAGCCTTCCCATTTTATAAGTGACTGCTGCAGCCCAGGCTTCCTGCTGAGGACTATCTGCCATTTCTATTAACAGGGCCAGAGGATCGCTATGGAGAAAGATGAGCAGAGACAGGAAGGAGCTAGTATGGAAGTCACATCTAATCTCTCCCCGCTTTGAGAGCCAATTTAGGACTAGGTATTGAAGGTTCCAAGATAGCATGCTCACCCATGCTTTAATGGGCCACAGACAGGAACCTACTCCAGAGCTGCCCAATTCCCAAGCCAGGATAAGGAGTGTAGTGAAGCTCTAGATCCAAAAGGAAGAGCTGTGGAAATGAACACAATTAGAAGTCCCCCCCAGTCACTTGACACAACAGCATCTATACAGAAGGGGTTAAGCTCACCCTGCTCAAAAGCAGCACTACCTAGATCCACAAATTCTGGTCTCTTCCCTGACCTCTTCCTTACTTCTAGCATCAGAAGCCCACAGGATCTGGTAAGAGCTCAGTCCTAGCTTACAGGACCAAATCTTCAGTACTAAGAAGAGTTTCTCTGGCCTCAGTCAGCCCCTCACCACCACCCCTGGCATAGGTAGAAAGGCTTAATGGTCCCAAGGGAAAGAATAAAGACTCGTTTCTCACTTTGTTGCACCCTCCTGCAACTCATAGAAGGCCATGCCTGGGGCTCTAAAATCCCCTTTCCCCATTCCACTGTTGGATTAGTGGATAAAGAAGCATACCCAGCCCTACCTCAAGCCTGGACTTGAGTTCCTAGACCCACACTCATGACCCACTCCAAAAGCACCCTAGGGAGATGACCCACTAGTCATCTTGAGAAAGACACAAAGAGCTGGGCCCAGGTCTTCCTACTCAGATACTTAAAGATCTTGTCCCTATAAGTCCTGTAGCCTCTCCAGGCCTATACTAGGTCCTATGCCAAGCACTTTACATGCATTATGTCCATTTCAAGCTCACAACCCCTGTTGTTTTCCCCAGAACAAAGGCAGAAACCTGGCTGTAAGAGTCCAAGATATTGTCCAAAGCCACGGAACTGGCAAACACAAGGTAGAGATTAGAGCCACATCTATAGGACTCTGCACCCAGGTTTGTGGCTGCAACTTATAAAATGAGAAGACTTTTTGATGTGTTTCCAACTTCCAGGAGCCATTCTTCCTGCCACACTCTACCCATCCAGGTATTACTGGCACAAACTGCACATAAGCAAAACTCCCTGTGCTAACAGATTCAAAGGATTCTGGCTATAGGGCAGGATCCTGGGCCAGAATTGTGTCTTAAGCCAATATCCGGTAACTAGATTAGCCACTCCAAGACACTCACCCCCATTCAACCTAGATAAGTGTGCCAGGCCTCCAGGGAGACAGGAGCATGACATGGATGCTCCCATCCTCTACCCAGGAACCAGGGTGGGCCAGGCTTGCAACAGAGGCCTGCCCCTTTCCACATGGGGCCAGTGACTCATCAGGACCCCAGGAGCAGCTTCAGGAATGATGGGCACCAGCCTTGCCCCCTGACCAACCCTAGGAGGCTCGCACCACATTAACCCAGTTTGGCAAATTCCTCAGGGAGGAAGACTTGAGCCCAAGCCCTTGGTGGGGCCTCAGTCTTAGAAAGAAACTCAGACCCATCCCAGTCAAAGGAGCCAAATTGAAGGAGTCCCCTTGGCCTGAACACACAGGCCCTTCCAGAGCCAGAGCCCCAAGCCATTCTTTCCCTTCTTCCGGGTACAACAGCTCTACCCATAGTAACTCCACCCCTTGCTCACTAGGACCCTGAGTGTAAACTAAGCCTGTTCACCCAGGTGTAAAGCTGGCTGTGAGTCTAACCCTACAGCATAGTATCAGAGTGAAACAAAATGCTGGCCATAGGAAGCTGAGCAAGGGCCCGGGACCCAGGTACTCCAACAGGTCACACCAGGACTCAGTGAGGGTCACTAACCTTCAGGGCACACTTCTGCCCGGTGCGCCGGTGGAAGCACTCCAGCACCTTGCCATTCACACCTAGACCCAGTACCTGCTTGGATAACTGGTAGTCATCGGTCACCGCGTACTTCTTGGGCTCCCGCCGCCCCCTGAGGGCTGGAGCACCGCACGAGCTGGGTCCACCGGGGGCCCCAGGAGGGAGCCCAAGGCCACCCTGCTCCTCTGCCGTCTCGCAATCCATGGCCCTCGCGGGGCGCTCAGGAGCGCACCCAGTCTGGCAGGTTCAGGGCACCTAGGGAAAGTGAAAGAGTGACTCCCCTCCCGGACTTTCCCAGCACGCCCGGCCTCTGAGCCCCTGAGTTTGACTGGGATGCCTCCCGGGACAAGCTGGGGATGCGAAGCGAACTGCCCTGGAGTAGGGACACGTGAAGGGTGGTGGCGACCCCACAGCCCCGCACGTGTGAAAGGGTAGGACCGGGCGCCAAGTGGCCCAGAGGTCCTGAGATCGTGTGCACAGGGAATGTACACCTGACAAGGACGCACCTGGCAGCGAGGGGCAGACAGTAGGCGCGGGAGCCGGTGACCAGGGGCGCCCAGGGCCGAGTCGCACAGCCAGCCCGACCCACGTGACAACCCCCTCCGCGCGTCACCGGGACCTGGGGCCCGCTAGGTCAGCCTTAAAGGGCCAGGCGGGCCAGGGCTGGGAGAGGCAGCGCAGGACAACATAGGGGGAGTGGCTTCCTGAGGAGGCGGTGAACTTCCTGGCTTCCGGGGACATAGAGGAGGACTCCTGCAGAGGGTATGCCCCCTCAACTTTATCTGCGACTCAGAAAGTGACTGAGCAGGAAGTCTTGTTTCTCTTGAAGCTTCCACTTGAATGGAGTGTTCTCTCCGCGCAGCCAGGCGGCACTTCAGAGTGACTTGCCAGGGTGCTAGCTTCAGGTGGCGGTGGCTCGCTGTACCTTCCCACTCAACATTGGAGGTTGAATCTGGGGCCTTCGCACTGAGCTACATCGTACCCAGTCCTTTTTTATTTTTATTTTGAGATGATCTCCCTAAAATGCTAAGTTGCTTCGGCTGGGCTCAAACTTGTGATCCTCCTGCCTAAGCCTACCAAAATGTTGACAACTTCTTAATTTTTGCCACCATGCCTAAGACAGTAGCATCTCATTGCTTGATTTGTGACTCTCTAGTCCCTGGTGGCTCTGTGCACTTCTTGCTCATATCCAGGGTGCATTTTTCCCCCTTTGGTTATATAGTACTCTTGGACCAGAAATCCTGACTTTGCATTTGGCTGTATTCATCAACTTTTCACCTTATGGTCTGAGCTTTTAGGCACAGTGGTAAGAGCCTCCATTGGACAATAAGGATCTTACATTCAAATCCCATTGGGGAAATTTACACCCTGTACCAAAATTTAAAATTAAAAATAAAAATGGCTGGAGTTGTAACTCAGTGCAAAGGGCTTGAGTTCAATCCTCATACAGCAAAAAAGTCTCTGCCTTCCACCACTAATATTCTCTATTAGTTTTGGTAGTTTATCTCTCCATGTTTAGGCATCTACTTCATTTTTTTTTCTCTTTTGAGTCAAAGAGACTCAAAATTGTAATTCAGGCTGGCCTTGAATTCATGGCAATCTTCCTGCCTTAGCTTCCTGAGTGCTGGGATTACAGGTGTGCACCACCACATGTGTCTATCTACTTCATTCTGATCCTATCTTGGCTTGTTGTACACATTTTGAGTTGTTTTCCCAACATAGTCTGTAGCCTGTGGGTCGGATCTCTACTGTGGGTCCTAGCCTGTGAGCTACCACAGCACAAAGCAAATTCAAGAACAGACAGAAATGAGACTTAGAGTGGAGAAGCTGAGTCTTGGGTCCTGGTCAGTGCTGCTGATGGCAGCAAAGACAAAGGTCCCCAAGTACATCCAGTATTTATTGAATACAATCATGGCAAGGAATAGGGAGTACAGTATGCTTTGAAGTCATCTAGTGAAATACTGCCGAACACCTGGCATGGTGGCACCAGGCAAGGCTGTCAGGGAGTAGGAACTGCTTATCCTGCTATAATACTGGGGTCAGGTGCAATTAGCAAGTAACCCTGAAGGTTAGTGAGAAGCAATAATTCAGGGGAAAGGATTATCATTGGGGTCACACTGACCTCAGCTGCACGTAATTTAGCAGGGCCCTGCCACTTTACAGACCAGGACTTAGGCCTTGGTGACAGCCATTAGCAAAGGAGCAGTATTAGCCCAACTCTGCTAGCTGACACATCTGTTTGAGTCACACAGGGCTTCAGTCTAACTCCTGATATAAAACAGTATAGCTGAATTGCAAGAAGCATGTGCCACTCATAGCCCACTAGTACTGGCTAGGGATGTCTCCTACAACAGTCTCTTATTTTACAAATGAAATTGAAGCTCCCAGAGAGGAAGCAAGCTATCTAGAGCCTCATCTTATGGCTGTCTCCTGGTGGCAAATCTGCACTACTTCCTTAAATTGTTCAACCCTTAAGACTGAAAGACCCTTGCAAGGTGGTCTTCTGTGGGTACTGAGAACCTGCTGAGAGGTAGATCTCTGAACAAGTCTCTGCTGCCATCTTCAGGCTATACTTAAAGCTGCAGGCACTGTGACCTTGATTCATCCAAATGAATCTTGAGGCCACTCTCTTGGCTTCTGAATGAGTGATCATCCACCATTGAGGCCTTCCCACAACCTCCTAGGTTCCTGGGCTGCAGGTCCAGGATTCTCCAAGCAGAAGCTCCTAAAAACCAGAACCTGATGCCCTCCTCATCCCTGATGACCGTTTTTGAGGGTTGAGTACATGGGTGATGGGGGGCTACACTATTGGTGGGTACCCTCTGTGTGCAGGTGCTGAGTTGGGACAGGGCTTGGAGCTCTAGCCCTGTCTCTTCCAGGTGAACTTCAAGCTAGCAGCATTCAGTTAAGCAGGGATCCCCAAACAATAGGCTCAATTAACCGTACTGAGCATTTCATGCTGACCAGACACTAGGTAGGCTTTCCACCCAAACACCACAACCTCACCAAGATCAGAGGAAGAAGATCAAACTCACAGAAGAGACCATTCCATAGAGGTCAATTAATCTGCTTAAAGTCAGCATCTATCATACAGAGTCAGTATTCCAACCCCAAAGTACATCCTCAGGCCTAGGCTCTTACCCGCAAATCAGAGTCTCTTTTGTGTGTGCTGTGTGAGTAATGGAGGTTGAAGCCAGGGCTTTTGTGCTGAGCTATATCCTCAGCCCTTTTTTTAAACTATTTTGAGATAGGGTCTCATTAATTTGCCCTAGCTAGCTTTGAACTTGTGACCTCCTGCCTCATCCTCCTGCGCACATGGGATTACAGACATGCATAACCACACTTGGCCTGTGGCCTCTTCTTGTAGTTCTCCCTGCCTCCACATGCACAGTCAAATGTGCAAGCATACTCTTACACATGTGCATATGCATTTGACAGGTGCACAAATAGAGACACACATGGGCATGAGTATGTATAAACAAACATACACACAACATGTACATACACACAGATATACATGTGCATGAAGAGACCCACACACGTTTATACCAGCTGACCCAGGACTGATGTCCCCTAGTCCCACATGACAATCAAATCCAAGATCTCAGAGCTTTGGAGAAAGCCCTGTGATCCAAAATATTCTCCTGTGGGGAGGCTGGGGAAAGCACTACGTTTTGCAAGCAATTAGTTCAGGCCTAATGAACTGAAGGCAAAACAGGATGAATGGGGTCCCACAAGTAAGCAGAAAGCTAGGCAGCTGAGCAGCTGAAGGTAGAAGCTGGTTAATTCCTTGCCCCACCAGAAGCCTCTCAGTGAAGCTATCTTCTTTCTTTAAAATTAAATCAGATTACAATTGCTCTTTTTAAAAGTTTATAATTGTGAACTTTAAGCTTCCGTATTTTTTACCAAAAAAATTAAGCACATAAATAAAACTTTGTTATAATGAATTCAAACCATACATGTTACAATTTAGCTTCATTGTCAACTTGGTTGGCTTGGGGGCCACCTAGAGGATTAGTAAAGTACACTTTTGACTGTGTCTAGCTAGGTAAGTGTCTTACTTTTCAGGGGACAAAATTGCGGGGACAAAATATCTGACACCCAAAGTTAAAAGAGGAAAGGTTTATTTTAGCTCACAGTTTGTAGAGGTTTTAGTCCATAGCCATCTGGCTCTGAAGTAGAGTAGCATGGCAGAGGAGAAACAGTCCATGGCAGGGTAGAAAAAAACAAAGCAGCCAGCCTGCCTTCCATCTTTCCCTTTATATTCCATCTAGGATACAAGCATATTTTAGTGCCACCCACACTCAAAGTGAGCTTCTCATTACCCATACACAGAACTATACTAAATTAATCAGTGGATGGATCCAATTATCACCACATACCTTTAATCCAATATCACACACCCATGATCCAGCCACCTCCCAAAAGCACCACAGGTGCATCAGGCTTTGGGGGTCATCTAGATACAAAACATAACAGTGGGTGTGACCTTGGGGTCTATAATTGGTCTCTGGTCCCTTCCTTTCTGGCACTGTTCCCCTGCTTGTTTCCCAGCCACTATGAATTAAGTGACTTTGCTCTATCACACCTTCTACTATGTTTCTCTCTTGAAGCTAGCCAACTGTAAATTGAATTGTCTGAAACTATGAGCCAAATAAACCCTTTTCCATGTGGAAGTTATGGATTTCAAGTATTTTATCCAGCTACAGGAAAACTGACTATTGTAATAGAGAAGTGTAAAATGTAAGCAATGGTGATACCTATTCCCTCCCAGTCCCATAACCAATGCCCATGATTACACAGGCACACAGATTCCCCATATGGGGTCATTGTAGGCAGATGTGTTACAACTGTTCATTTAGGACAGACTATGGTTTCTTCTCAGTGCTCATGTTTCAGCAGATACCTGCCACATCCCTTTTTACACTGATGAGAGATTTCAGTATTCAGAATGGCTGTGTGTTCAAAGGACAAAGATAGGCCCTTGAAGTAGCTTACAGTGACCAAACATGAGTGTGGGGGGGGCGCAGTCAGCACACATGTGGACTGTTCTTGAAGGGAAGAGGAAGGCTACTCATGGTGAGCAGACAGACACCCAATCAGCTAGGTGTTGAGGAAGGCACTGTTGTGTATTCTTGTGACTTGTCCTGTGATTGTTCTGGGTGGGAAAGGTCAGAGGAATCCTGCAATATGGTAAACTCATGGGTGAGTGGTAAGAACTGGAGATTTGGCCAGTGGGCTCTTAAGGATCACCACTGGATGGCAGTATGGGCCCAGTAGCAGGGGTTGGATTTGGGCAGAAGAGTAATAAGGAGATAGCCAGAGGGACCCACAAGCCTTGAGGCCAACAAGACACCACTTTTATAGCATGCAGGTGAAGTACAAGACAGTGAGGTCAAATTCGCAAAAGATCATTGGAGGGCCAAAAACCTTGGCACCTTTCATTTACACACAGAGCTGCCTAATCACTGACCTCTGTTGGTGATGCTTTTAAGGAGACACCCATGGTGCTCTGCCCTTGACTGGCCTAGAGACAAAGAAGTTTGGCTGTGGACCTTACTGTTGGATCCTGAAAGATGCCTAAAAATTGGCAGGTCACAAATACCTAGAGATAAAGGAGGGAGAA